AAGTTCGACAACGGTGCACCGCAACAGGGCTCCATCGAGCAAGGAATGGAACGCATGAGTCTTCAACAGGGCGGGCGCACCAGTTCACAGAACGGTGCCAACTATGTACGTTTCTCCTCGTTCTATCATGGAAACCTTGAGGCTAACGCATGCCACACAGCAGCAGCAGCAGCAGCAACAAGCTAGCTACCAGCAATCACGCAACTCTCAGCAAGCTGCTCAACCCAGTCCCTACGCCAAACCAGCGTCGCAGCTTTACGCTCCCATCTCAGCCCGTATTCCGAGGTATTGTTTTGCGGAAGACAAGTACTGGTTCGTCATTGAAGCAGTGCTGGAGGATGGCCGTCACTGGGAACTGTCCAGATACTACGAGGACTTTTACGACTTCCAGATTGCCTTGCTCACCGAGTTCCCGGCCGAGGCAGGAAACACCGGCACGCAAAAGCGTACACTCCCCTACATGCCTGGTCCAGTAAACTATGTGACAGATCAAATCACGGAAGGCCGGCTACACAACCTAGATGCCTACGTTAAGAACCTCCTCGCGCAGCCTGCCTACATTGCAAGGTGTACCCTCGTCAAGCAATTCTTCGCCCCCAGAGAAGGCGACTACGAGATGGACCCCAATGCGCCGAGCGACGAATACCGACTATCGGGCGGCTCGCAGCCTTCATCGAACGAATCACCAGCAGATGCGGCTTCACGACAATCCTCCAAGAATAACTTGAATGGCAATGGTTACGGTGCTCAGCAACGAGCGATGGGCCAGCCCGGAATGAACCGGCAGCCGTCATCTCTGTCGCAGTCACAGCCTTCTCCTGCCATCGGCCAGGGTCAAGTTCAAGCCATGAAGATCAAGCTCTACTTCAACGGCGATCTCATCGCGATCCGGGTTGCGACAGACATTTCCTTCCAGCAGCTGTACGACAAGATTGTGGACAGGCTCAAGATCCCAGTAGGCGAGGAAGTCCAGCTCTTCTACAAGGACGAACCCACCGGCGACAAGCCCAACCTCATGAGCGACAACGACTTGGACTACGCCTTGCAAAGGAACGAGAAGCTCCTCCTCTACGTCGAGCAGGTCTAAGGCTCGACAAGGTGCTACTCAGCTCGGACTTTTTCCTAGATGGTTTTCACGACTACTTGAGAGACAAAAGCATACCCCCCACCCGCCATTGCATTCTCACTTCATGATTCCCAGCGCACGCGACGCGTTGCTATCTACTGTCTTATTACACAGGCGATGGCTGATTTTTCACTTCTATATTGTTTTCTCTTAGTAGCTGGACTCGATATACGACCATGATGCGCCAGTGGATCGACTCTCCTTCGCGCAAGCGGCTACGCTCCCTTTTCTTTCTCTTAAACTTCTTTGGCCCTCGAAAGGGTCCCCACTTACGATTTTCTTTTTGATGGTTATTGACGTTGATGATGGGGAAAAAGAAGTATTGATACAGCCCTCGAGGGTTTATATCTGTCCAAGAGTTTCTCAAACAGACGCAAGACGGATTTGTTTCCACCACGAGAACCACGGAGAGAGGACATTGGCGGGCGTTCATTGGTTAGACGGCTGACTTGAGCTGTCACAATTCTTTTTATTTTAGCACGAGACCCTTTCTCAACTGGCATTCCCCTCGGTGGCCTGGTCCTCAGAACTCGGGCGAAGTGCACGGGAAGGAAGACCGGTTCTGGGGGTTCTGATGATGAGCGAACGAACGTGAGGACGAATGAGGATGAGGTTCGGACAGATGGGCAAGGGACGGGCCCTATACCCGTGTTTTAGCCAGAGATGAATCAAGACGAGCCTGTTCAATGAGTCCTACCTAATCTTGATACGCGTGAGGGAGGATGTGAACCATGTGCACGAGCCACAGACGTGTATCCAAACAACCTGCTGTCCGCGCCTCGCCCCACTGATGAATATTTATCAGAACCTACCCGTCTCCAGCATATTCCAACCTCTCATTCGCTCCCTCGATACCCTCTATAATGAATAGCAATACCTCATGCCATCACCAAGGCCCGTAGTGTAGCGGAGAAGGTCATCTCTGTTTCTGAGTTGCGCCGCACCTACGGATCACGGGCTCGAGTCCCGTTTCTTGTTGTAAAAAAAACATCCTTGCTTCATTTCGCATGACGGCAGAGGTCGGTATGGGCCTGGAAGGATCTTTTCGTGGGCCCCTCTTGTAGGGGGCTGGGCTTCTCGTCTTTTTGCGTGTTGTGATTAGGTGATTGGGACAGGACGAGTCCCAAGATACAGGTAGATGGCAGGTAATGTTAGCTAGACTAGCTGCATGGTACCTTATGTCGAAGAGTAAATGGCGTTCATAAGATTCATCATTAAGGTACCTTGTGCAAGAATAGGTTACAAAAAGTAGCAACTCCCTCAGGCCCCCGGCACTCATACACCTATATACACAACTACACACGCGCAACGTGACTGTGCTTTTTCCTCCCTTGATACCTGCATTCCCATATCCGACAGCAAAAAGCCTTTTTTCGTTTTGTGAAAGTGGTGACTGGTCCATCGCCTTCTAATAATCCTTCTGATATACGTCGGCAAACCCGAAATATGGATTACCAACTACTGGAATATCCCTCGCTGGGGAGGTTTCCGTTTTCCGTTTGATAATCACTCTGCTCCCTTTCGCTAAACCCTTACCATACCTTCAATACCCTTCCCAGTCTTCTGCAATCGAATCTCCCTAGACAACAACGTGCGTAGACATATGCTCGACAGCCTCCTTAATCGTCCTAAGCATACGCTGGTTCACACAGAACGGGCACCGCAGCGGCCTCTCGTTGGCCGAGACCGGGTCGTCGTTCTTGATGGGCGTCAGGTTCAGCTCCGGCGTAGACGGCATGAACCGGTTCGACGCAGACACGACCCTCTGCACGGCGGGCGTCGCAAGTGCCGCCGCAGCGGTCCCCTGCGCGCGCTCCCGCTGCTCGCGCTCCTCTCTCGCCGCGGCCGCCGTCGCCTCGGCCTCGGCCTCCTCCTGCTGCAGCTGGCGCAGCGCGTTCTGCAGGACAATGTCCGGGTCCTCGTCGCCGTACATGGGCGTGTCGCTTCCCGGCGGGGGTGGTGGCGGCGGCGGGCCGACGAGGCTTGTGTCGGCGCTGTGCGGGTCGGGGGTATGTTGGACGGCCGAGGTCGGGGACATGGGATTCGTCGTCGCGGTTCCGCCGGCGCTCAGGCGGCGGAGGACCTCGTCGCGGACGAGGGCGCAGACTTGGAGGCTCGCTTCGACGCCGAGGGCGCGGAGGATGGCTTCGCGGATGGCGGCGGGGGAGGTTTCGGCGGAGAGGGCCATGAGGCGAGGCACGCAGTCGGCGAGGTAGGCGATGTCTTCGGCCGGGTTGATGCCGCCGTCGCCGTGGCGGCGCTGGCGGCGTATGAGCAGGCCGTAGCGTTTCTTGAAGCGGTGGATCCAGCCGGGGGAGAACTCGGGGGGCGTCTCGTCCTTGTAGCGCGGGAGGGCGGTGAAGATTGCTTTGGCCTTCTCGCCGAGCTCCTCGTTGGTCGGGTGGCGGCCGGTGGCCTGGACCTGCTGGTACCATCGCAGGACGAGCTTCTCGACGTCGGGCCAATTGCCGAAGCGCAGGCGACTGCCGCTCAGCTGGGGGTTGTCGCCATCGAGGCGGGAGTATTTGGGACTCAGGGAGTGGGAGACGGTGGACTGGGAAATGTGCTGGCCATACTGGGCGTAGAACCAGTCGATGCAGGCCTTGTGGCTGGGGCGGATTGTCTGGGCATTGGCCCAGCGGCGGAGGGCGCGTCGTTGGTCGAGGGTGAGGGAGTGACGCTCCTTGGGTGTGCCGCCGACGGGGCTGCCGGTGACGTCCGGATCCGGGCCGCCGGGGAGGACGTCGGGTTGTTGTGAGGGGTGGTGGAGTTCGTGGGCGGCGTCGTGGTGTACGTCTTGGGTGTGGTCGTGGTCCGACATGGTGGATGAAGGAACTTCTCTCTTTTCCGTTTTGGTGACTATCCTCCCGATGCTCGACGCGCGCGTCCACCACCACCGAAAACCGCGATTTGCGACGAACGGGGGTTTCGCTCGGTGGACAAAAGCCCGTGTATTGAGGTAATGTGAATATGTGCAAGACGCGGGGGGAGGGTGTTTAATCGGATGAAGGGGGGGCCGAGGGGGCCGCCAGTGGTGGTCTGGGTGTCGTGGTGTGGTTTGGGAGAATCGTTGTATCCGTGTACGAAGTGGTTGAAGGGGGGGGAGTTTTGGTTAAGGAAGAGGAGGGAGCAAGCTGGGAGAGGGAAAATGTGGGAAAGCGCAAGTGTTTAGCTGCAAGCGAAGCGAGGGCCGTACGAATTAGGATTGTAGCACGGCTTATTCAGCCAGCACATGCGGTTCGAGGGAGATCCGCCAAGGTTGCATGTCACTTGTTTATGCATCCAATGAGCTAAGGTAGCTACTCCTGGTACCACCAATTACCCTCTGCTACCCATACCTTACAAAGTACCTATCTTTGGCCCGGACATTTCGTTTGGGGTGGCTGGCCCAAGCTTCTCTGCGTGGGTTGCATCAACTCGCAGCTGTCATTTACGGATAAGTTTCATATCCGTTTTGCAATTGGATCACTCTGTTGAATCCGACATGGCATTCGGCGTAATGCCAGTAAACGAAGTTGATGATCCGACGTGAATCAATTCCAATGTACTTCAGTCACCACAGAAATGGCCAGTTGTTCCGTCAAGCAAGCAAGCCATTCAATGCTGGCTGATATTCCCACAAGTCTATTTACCTTGGACAAGAAAATACGCTACCTACTTTTCCTTCAATGCTGACAGCTTCTCCCTCATATTCATGCCACATGCTGAGGGTGTCACCGTCGCACTTCATTAATGCAAGTTCCGATCCCAACTCCCAATGCCGAGCCAACCAAAGGGCCAAAAATCAGACCCCTCCTCCCTCCCTAAAGAGTAAAACAAAAAACAACAACTGTCATCCCCCTTCCCCCGCCGCAACGCATAGACCTCGTCGCTTTCACACAGACATCTTCATGGCAATCGTCTTATGCGGCTCATACCCCTTGACCACAAAGTCCTCAACCTTCCACCCGTCAATGCTGCACCCCGGCTCCCTGTTGCTGATCTCCAGCAGCGGGAAGTCTCTTGGCTCCCGCTCCAGCTGCACCTTGAGCGCGTCCACGTGGTCCGCGTAGACGTGCGCGTCGCCCATGACGTGCGTGAGGCTTCCCGGTACCAGGTCGCACGCCCGCGCAATCATGTGCGTCAGGAGCGCGTAGCTGGCAATGTTGAAGGGCACGCCGAGTCCCATGTCGCAAGACCGCTGGTACAACTGGCAATGGAGGTGGCCCTTTGGCTTCTCCTCGTTTGCGGGCGTGGCGCCGCGGGCTCGCGGGTACGAGACGTAAAACTGCGCAAACATGTGGCACGGCGGGAGCGCCATCTTCTTCAGATCCGCTGGGTTCCAGGCGCTAAGGAGGATGCGGCGGTCGTAGGGGTTCGTCTTGAGCTTGTGGATGACCTCGGCCAGTTGGTCAACGCCCTGGCCCGTGTAATCCGTCTTGGAGTCGACGTACTCGGCGCCAAAGTGGCGCCATTGAAAGCCGTACACGGGGCCGAGGTCGCCGACTTCGCGGTGGGAGAGGCCGACGCTGTCCAGGAACTCGCGCGATCCGTTTCCGTCCCAGATCTTGACGCCGGCTTCGCTCAGGGCGAGCGATGATGTGTTGCCCTCGACGAACCACAGGAGTTCGGCAATGACTGCGCGGAGGAAGACACGCTTGGTTGTGAGGAGGGGCAGGAGGGGCTCGCCGTTCTTGTTGAGGGAGAACTTAAGAGGAGTCGGGGCGAAGATTGAGTAGGTGCCGGTGCCAGTTCTGTCAACTGTGTCAGCTCATGGTGCTCGTTACTTTTGGTTGCTTTCCTTCTACTTACCTGTCCGGACGGTGCTCGCCCTCCTCGAGGATCTCGCGAACGAGATCGAGGTACTGGTATTCCTCGTGGCGCTTGGCAGAGGAAGCGCCATTCTGCTTCGTAGGGTTCTCGGGAACAGACATGTTTGTGGATTCGACAGCTGCTGGTGCCATTGTTGCGTCCAAGATGTTGGAAAAGCAAGTTTCTGTGGTTTCTCTAGAGTGAGATGTCTCCTCGAAATGGAATGCCCCGCGGAAGACGCGTCTTGACGCGTCTGATTAAAGTGCATTTCTGCTGACTAAGGGAGCTCGCAACTGATAAGATAAGCCCTGCCGGGGAGCAAGGGTCTTGCCGGCTGCAGCATCTCTATGCGCCGGAGCTTGTTCCATCTCTGCTGAACTTTGGGCGAATGGGAGCAGCCAATCCGACGAGTCTGAGCTGAGAAGTCGTTTCAACATCATCTCGGTAGACTCAGCCGTCGGATCTTTCCTATTCGCCCCTGACGTTCATGTGTGATGGGAATTCGGGATTTTGTCATGTCCATTTGCTTGAGACTTACTCGGTGACGATGTGTTCTCCCCTCCCCCCTCACAGGTCACTGCCTGGCGTGACGGGTTTACAAGATACACGGACAGATGAGCTCTGTCGACTTATAACGTTCACCTATATTGGCAAAGACTTCGATACTTCGAGTTGTCTCTGAAGAGAGCTGAGCTTTCTTCTTAACTGACGTAGACGCTCTGTATACGGGACCTCGGTGTCCAGGGCCTCGAAACCTCTACTCGGTCATTTACCGCCTCTCCGTTTCCTTTGGCATATCTTTCAATTAAGCAGTCTGCTCAAGTTGCACTTTCACGGAGATGCGTCTGTATTCTACAAAACCTCAGGGCCGACGATGAACATCACCATCACCGTACCGCCGGGAACCGTCAACCATGGCGACCCAAGACTCATTTGTACGCCTCCCATCTGGACCGACTTTGTCATCTTTTACGCAACAAACTACTTCGTCCACGCCCTCACCCTCCCCAGCCGTCCCGGCGAATCCATCCTCGAGACCTGCTTCACCGTCCTGACGGCCCTCTTTCTACCCAGCACCGGCTCCCTGCGCGCCGCCCGCTGGCTCCTCTCCCACGCCGGCACGGTTAGGCGCGACGAGCTCAGTCGGGCTATCAGGGCCGGGGCGCTATGCATGGTCGTCGACGAGACGGAGAGGTCCAAGGTCTCGTGGATAGAAACGTCCTTGAGGCGGATGAACTTTGAGAGGGCGCGAAGCTGGTAAGTGTTGAACAGAATCCGCTTTAGAATATTGAGGCATTTCAAATCAATACGCATTTTCTTGTGACTAACTTTGTTCATGCTGAAAGGTACGATATCCCCACCCCCCAATGGTATCGCTCTCGCTTTCGCGGCGCTGGTCGGTGGGTGCACTCTTCCCGGACCATCCACGGGACCTGCGTCCTGCCCAAGGGCTTCATCTTGGTCGAGGTGCCCGTAGGCACGCCCCTGATGCCGCCTCCCGGCTCGGGGGCCGCCCACCTCGACCGCTCCAACATCCAGCTGGGCAGCACGTACAACATCCCCAAGGCGTTGTTCGCCCTGGGCCAAGCCGCGTGGGGCGTGACGACCGTCTACCGCACGCAGGGCGACCAGCTCCAGCGGTATGGCTATGCCGCCTTCGGCGTGACTGTGGCGCCGTATGCGTTCATGTCTCTCGTCAATCTCATTGCGCTCCTTGTCACGCCAGAGTACAACTGTATCTACCTCGTCCATACCCCCGACCTCGACAAGGCGAAGAGGTTGGGGGGCAGGTTCTCCGGCATGGTTGCCAGCGTCGACCTCGACAGCATCAAGGAGCCGTTGCGGACCTTTTGGCCCTCTCAAGCGGCTCATGCGTCGTACTTTGCCGTCACGACGGTACTTCTCCTAATGCCGGCCATCCTCGTCGCGGGCGTGACTGGGTTCAGCCCCGGGCACAGCACTATCTACCAGCAAGTTTGGATTCTCAGTTGGCTCATCTTTGGCATCGTCATGGGTCCGGTCATCAGGATGCTCACTGTGTTTCCCTCTGAGATTCACGGCGTTTACAAGATTCGTGCGAACGACGCGATAGCGTATGCTCTTGATAGGGCGACGTTCATGCAGCGGGCGATAGACTGGCTGGTTGCAAAGTATTTCCGCATCATTGAGACGTCGTTCTATCTCTATGTCATCATTGGAGCAGCGATTTGCTTTACTCCTGCGATAGGGGGCATGGTTGTCGTTGGGCAGATGTTGCAGGAGTTCGGTGTGTGTAGACGGCTAGATACGACTGGACAAGGAGGTTTTTAGAGTACGTTCAGATGGAGATAGTCCTTATTGATACGAATACAATAGTTCCAGGCCTTGAGGCTTACATTCCAACTGGTTGTCGAGTTCGCCGACCCACAGTGGTCTTTTTATCAGCGTCGCCCACCATCAGATTTGGCAATGAAAACGAAAAAAATCAAAAACATACATCACCAGGTATTCGCTGATCGTCACCGACTCAACTACTAATCTGGCCCTCATCGGCTTGTCTATGGGAGAGCGGACGGGATCCCGAATTTTCCGATGGGTGTGGTCGTATGTGCTTGTTCTGGAACGGAAAGTCCATCATATTGGTTGTGGGTTTGCTCCTCGTGCGTCTATTATTCGTAACACTGACGCAAACAACTACGCCACCGACGACTCCCGCACTTGTTGAAGTTTCTCGAGGTTTGCAGCATGAGCCTCCATACCCTTTGGGTCATTGGGCTAGGAGCTGGGATACGATACGATACGTTCAAACAGGGTAAGCATATACTCTCTATTGGATAGTACCTACATGAAGAGAGGTATGCAATTGATTGCGATAAGAAAATATTTCATGATAAAAAGGAGATTGATATTGTTCTATGACGTGACAACTGCCTCCCCTAACATTTACATAGTTACTAAGGACATACTTTTATAATCGATTCCAGTCTTCAATATCTCCCAATCTAGCTATGCTGACCGTCTAGAGCGAGCCCTTTACACAAGTACGCCCGCCACGTCAAACGCTAAAACTGGCTTGTGTCGTCAAAGTGAGGAATCTTTAAGCCGTCTAATACACTGCGATCTTGTATGAAGAAAACCTCGGGATAGAGCTGAAATCTAGTCCCTCACAACGACTAGATTGTGCCACCATGTGAATATCATTTTTTCTTAAACGTGCCCAGGAAGCACAAATCAGCTGTTACCTTCTTTATTGTCTTGCAGGCAGCTCAAATCCTATTTTATTCATAACATGGTGCGTCTGTTCAAGGGTAAACGTACAACGATGAGAAGAAGAGATCAGTCGTGCTGGCAGGCTCCCACGTATGCGTAAACTACCAGCTTTCATATGACTGTATTACTCAAGAAGCAGCGTGAGCAGGTTCAATACGTCTAGTTTTGAGTACTCCCAGAGAACCGATGAATATTATTGTGCTTGGTTTAGGTTGAGGTTTCGCTGCGGTCACATCGACTTCCAAAGGCAGTCGTGGATATTCAGGATCTTCCCCATCTCCCAGCCTACTATCTTGCAGCCAAGTGCCTCGCTTATCGATTTGAAGACACTCCGGGCCGAGTAAAGAATTGTCTTACGATGCTACATGAATTCCACCTTACTTTCTAGGCCCACTGTACACCCATGCTTCCGACAACTTCCTCACCCCATTGAAAGTAAGCGTGGTTATCAGGAAGACTTTTGATAGCCATACCCTCATGTCAGTCTTCATAGTTATATCACTGTAGCTCAAAGCAACTCTGGGCTAGCAACTGAATGATCACCAGACAGCTGGAGCCTCCACAACCTCTGTTCGGCACAGATAAATACCGTGTCATCTGGCCCGCGACAGAAGCTCATGACACCACCTGCCAGAGAGGCCATGTTAGCATCCTTAGGAGCACACAAAATGAAATCTCAGATTCAGAGCGGTCAAACTTGCCTGGAACTAGAATTGCGCCAAGTAATGAACCGCCATTACTCCAAATCTCAATGCCGTCGCTACAGGCCGCCCACACATTACCATCCTCGCACATGAGGTGCATGGGAGCACCTCTCCTAGCCAGGGCGAACAGCCGCCTATTCGCCAGGAAGACGGAACCACTTCGATTCACAATGTCAAAAGCGTAGATACTCCGCGGTCTAAAATACCTTAGTCAGAGCTGAAGGGGAATAAGACGAGGAAACAAGGAAACAAAGAACTCACTCAGTCAAGTCAAGACTCCCATCAACACGCACACCACCAGCATCCGCAACATACACCGTCTCAAACTCCTCGTCAATCGCAATCCCCGTCGGCCGCTTGAACCCATCCGCCATGGCCCTCACCTCGCCCGTCTTCGGCTCGCACCGATACACCTGCGGCGGCAGCTGAGGACGCGCCCTAAAGTCCTGCTCGTGCCCGCAGCACGGGTCCGTGAACCAGATGCCGTTGTCCAGCGGCGAGACGGCCGCGCTGTGCGGGGAGTTGAAGTCGTGGCCGTAGTAGCCGGACGCCACGCGCTGCGGGTGCCTGCCCGCCTGCATCGTGAGCACGCCGCCCGTCTGCGAGGCCATGTTTCCTTGGGAACACCACACGGCGACGTCTTCTCCGACTAAGCAGCCGCCCGCCGGCATGGGCATGGTTGGAGGCGGGCGCATCTTGGCCCATTTTACGGCGAGCATGTCGTTGGTCTTGCTGGGCTCGACGTTGACCTTTGACATGAGGATCGTGGGGGGCCGCGTAGGGTCAGTTGCTGCGAGTGGGGCGGAGGTCGTCCATAGCTCTTTTCGGGAGGGGATGTATACGCATCCGCGGTGGAAAAAGGCGTTGGCTGAGGCGTCTAGGGAGGATAGGAGGAGGGCATGAGTTGGCCTTGGGCCGATTATGGACGTAAGAGCGGGGTCGTATTGGATGATTGAGATGCCCGCCTGCAAAATATCTCTTTAGCAACTCAGGAAAGATTCTAACGGAACATGAGGTTCTCACCTTATTTGAGCTGGGACGTGATGCTGGCGTCGGACTGAGACGATCGCCTATCTACTCGGCAGTGAGCATGTAGATCTGAGTAGATCGTTGACTCTCATTACGAGCCGTAAAGGATATTCTTACCTCGAGTGGAGTCGCAACAGACTTGATATTCTTCTCTTCAATGGTTGTCATGATGAAGATGCTCTGTTTGCACACATATTCTCTTGGATGTTGTTTCTGGTGAGTTGGTTATCATTGACACTACTTGGCTGAGCTAAATTACTAACCCCTACGGCCCCGATTGAACCGGGAAGCACGTTTGCAGCAAACACCTGAAAATCCCTACAATTTGCCTTCCCTCTCTTAGTAATAGTATTCCGTTACTTTCAGCTGAGACATAAACCGCAAAAGGTTCGGATCAGTCTCCGCGTCTACTGATGAATCGGCCTGCCATGAGCTCCGGCACGGGACATTGCCGTGACTGGGGCCGAAACGGGCTCGGACGATGTGGGTAGAGTTTACTGGCGCCGTGTCGGGCTTACACAGCATGCTCCGCCATCCCGGCGCCAACATCGGGTTTATGACCATACGACTTACTAAGTCCGGTGATCGACTCGCAGCGAGCTTCGGCATAAAGCACGGCGTGATGATATAAAAGCAATTGTAGAGTCTGTTGGGAGGTTTCTGGCGCCAAGCATTTTGTATTTCAGTACAGTTACCATGGCTATCATTCTTGTCACTGGCGCAAACAGAGGAATCGGGTTTGGTATTGTTCAGGCGATCGCCGGTCGACTTAGCAACTTCACCATCCTCGTCGGATGTCGCACACATGAGTCTGGCGAAAAAGCGATTCGCAAATGGAGAGACATTGGTATCAAAGAAGCCTTAGACGTACTCCCATTCGACATTGAGGATGACGGAAGCATTATCGCCGCTGCAACCATCGTTGAAGAGAAGTATGGTAAACTAGATGGTGAATTACTACCTATCTTCTCACTGCGAATCCGGGCAGCTAATGATGGTAGTCCTGATCAATAACGCCGCCAGAGTCACCGTCTCAGAATCACTTAACCTCCCCGATGTCCGGTCCGCGACCAACTCTGTGCTTGCAAACTGTGTCACTTCGAATCTCATCGTCACTCAAGCATTCCTCCCGCTTCTTCGCAAATCCGAATATCCTCGCGTCATCATGACCTCGAGTGCTCGAGGCAGCATGACAAGAACAGCAAATGGGGAGGTAAGCACATATCACTTTCCGCACTTTTCGGTAACAGACTTGTCTCACACAACACACAGCTTCCGCCAGCAGCCTCCATCAACTATTGCATGGCAAAAGCTGCGTTGAACATGCTGACCCTGCAATTCCACCTGGCCGAAGAACGAAGGTCGTCCGATGACAAAGTCGTCTTCTGGGCAACTAGCCCCGGGCATTGCAAGACAGCTTTCAACGGGTTTCGCGGCACCAAAGAACCGGTGGATGGAGCTGAAGTCTTTGTACGATTATTAGAGTCAGAAAAGGGCGTCATTGCCTCGGGAACGTTTTGGGAGTTTGAAGACGACGAGTTCAGATTGGTCCCCTGGTAATCCCTCCTATCAATTGGATCATCCGTCTTGCGTCCAGACCAATTGTTGCTGGATAAAGATCGTGAAAAATTGCGTACTGATATCGACTTCCGAGTCACCCTCGCGGTACATGTCGTCGTCGCGTTTTTGCTGGTCAGAAAATGTCTTCATTCCCATCAACCAAACCCTCTATGAATACACTAGGTCGCAAACAGACCATTGACTTCGCCCGGAATATCGCCCGTCTAGTGTTTCGCCTTCTCGTCCTTGTCCGCGCTGTCCAAGAACTTCCTGTTACGTCTCCTCGTCAGCAAATGGGGAAGGGATTCCTGTCCGACCAGGGGGAAATGACGCACTTGATGAAGTCGGCCTCGTCGGAGCTAGATGCGTTGATGGGGGGAGTGGCAGTAGCCTTGGGCTTGCTGCCGCTGAGGCCGTAGGAAGCGCCGCCGAAGAGGGTCGCGAGGACGCCCATGGCCAGCTGCGCGGAAAGAGAGGTTAGCCTTGGGATGATGCTCGGGGGCCGGGTTCGGGAGTTGCAGGGAGCAGCGGAGGCAGAGAGGCGCGCTCGGGATAGCGACATACGTAGTGGGAGCCAATCTGGCGGCCGGCGATAGTGTACATCTGAACCATTTTGTCGGTATTAGGGGGTTTGCGAGCCTTCGGGGGTGAATTGGTTCGATGGGGTGGAGGCAATTGGAGATGGATGAGATTCGTCGTGGATGTCGATACTCGGAGCTCGAAATTCGTTCGGAAGCTGGAGAATCTAATGCCTGGATTGTCAGGCCCTCAGTTTCGGCTCTGAGCCTCTGGCCAGTATCGGGAGAGCGGGGATTTCCAGCCACCAACATGTACCTCCGTATCGCTGCTGCGCCACAGACGGATAAGTTTATGCAAGTGCACTCGGTGGCTGAAGCTCCCGATGCACCTTTCTTAACCAAGCAGCAGCCGACGTCACAACCGACATCAGAAGATTCATGCCGCGGGCGTTTCCGGCGCGCGCTGGCGCAGGGCGACTACATTACCCTTTAGGCTCCCCTCCCCCAGCACTGCCGCCATCCATGCACACATAAAGCTGCCAGCCTCCGAAAAGCGAACCTGGGTGGTAATAGCTCAGATTCAGACGAAGTAATCCGTACATCAACACCAAAAGCACACAACATGTGGGGAAGAAGCCAGGACAAGACACCGGAACAACCGAAAGAGTCGCCAAAGGAAGATGGCGCCAAGACGTTCGACCCCAACAAGCTGCCGGCACGTGAGAAGCTGCCAGCGGCGCTGCAAAAAATAGTTGACAAGTCAGACAGAGAGGATAACTTCTTCGACGAGCTGGTGGACGGGTAGTGAGTGCCGACCGTTGCGACTGAACTAGAGTGCTGAGTTGACTTGCGACAGTGCGCCCGAGTCCACCGAATCCAACGTCCGTTATGCCGCCTACGTGACACGAATCCGCACCATCATGATGTCCGCCCATCGATACGTCGCCTACACCTCTGATATTGGCGAATCCTTCCGGCCCGTCGCGCATCCCGGTCTCGTCCGCACCGCCTACGGAATCTCGTGGCTCTACATCCTCGGCGATGTCAGTTACGAAGGCTACAAGGCGTACTGGGCTAACCAGCGCGTCCTCAACCCGCACCTCCAGCTTACGGCACGGCAAGCAAAGATCACGGGACTGCCGGATGCCGTGTCAGATGCGACGCACCCCAGCGAAGTGGTTCCGGGTGGCAAGGTCGCGCCGCTGGACGATTACAGGACAGTCATGATCCAGCGAGGTATCTTCCAGAGCATTGCCAGCATGGGTCTTCCGGCTTTCACCATCCACAGCGTCGTGAGGTACTCTGGCCGAGCTCTCAAGAACGCAAAGAACCCGAAGATAAGGACCTGGGGCCCCATTGGTCTCGGCCTCGCTGTCGTACCCTTCTTGCCTAGCCTTTTCGACGAGCCGGTCGAGAACGCCGTGGAGTGGATCTTTCACAAGGGCTTTGAGTCGTACGGTGGTAAGGAGTTCGTTGGCAACGCACCAGCCACCGGTCGTGAAGACCTATTGGCGAAGAGACCAAAGGAAAAGGAACTGTAGGCGTGGCGTTTAAGGATGATTTGGATCACAACTCAATCGGATTTGGCTCGGCGCATTAAGGAAATCTCCAATTCACAGAACATGGCATGAAGGGAAGCGATTGGCACGGCCCTTGATTTGGCGGCGTGTGGTGTGTAATTGAGGGTATATACGGAAAATGCCACTATGAACATATTCATCAAGTCATCATCATTCGCTAAACCTCCATGAGATCAGGCGGCGGCCCAACACCGCGGAGCAGTACTACAGTGTTGCCGCTGACAAGCGAAGCTCCAACCTTTTCGTTAAACTCTAGAAGCCGTCCTCCCTCCACGTGAAACACCCGTAGTTTGTCTTGCTCATTCGATGATCGGTTGTTGAGGTTCTCCACCTGTAACCGTTTCGCGGCTTCGTCCAGCACCCTACCCACCACCCAGTCCTTGGAGAAGAAAAACTCTCCCTTGGGGAACTTTGCTTTTGCGGTTGCGACTTCTGCTTCGACGTATAGGTAGACTCTCTTCTCTTGCGCGAGCTTATCGTCGCCCTTTGCCGTCTTCTTAAGATTGTTCACAGCGATCAGGCGCGCAGATGCGGATGTGGGTTTCGGTTTCGGGAGGGCCCTGCCAGCTTGTTCCTTCTTTGCAGATCCCCAAGCCTTTAACTTGTCGAATGCGCTCTTCGTCCTCGCCGCAACGTCGATCTGCGACCCCGGCCGCGCGCCTAGCGGAACGAGGTTCTTGCAGTCGTGGTCCTCCTTCAGGCGGTGCTTGAGGCAGTAGTCGCGATTGCAGCCCGGGCAGTGGACGCCAGTCACTAGCGAGGTGCCGATGGTGGTCTTGCAGGTCGGTGATGCGCAGGGCTTCTGGGTGACGGTATCGCGCAGTTGGCGGCCTTGGCCGTAGGAGGGTTTCGCAAGCTCCGCCTTTCGCCGGCGTTCGGCCCAGGCGCCGGCGTTGGCGCACTTGTGTGTAGTTTCGGACCGGTGGTCGAGGCAAAATGTGTGTTTGCAGCTTTGGCAGAAGAAGGGGAGGAAGTCGAGCTGGTTACAGTATTCGTATTCGCAGTGTTTGCCGACGAGGGTCTCGTCGAAGCCGTCTTTGGATTCGTCCATCTTGACGTAGCTCGTCTCTTCGGGGGTGGATGAGGATGCCATTGCGATGACGTTTTTGGCTTCTTTGTCTATTTATCTATAATATTGAACAGTCTTCGGAGATTTATTGAGCTTGCGTAGACCTCAAGGTGGGCGCAGTGGGTGGCACGAGGCTGAGAGTGGCAGTAACGGAGATGGCGATGTCGGGTTGATGAGAAATAGCGGCGGAAGGGTCTGGAAGGCGCCAGTTGGCGGGTTTCGCTCAGTTAAGTTGACTCAATCCACGGGTCGCTGTCAGCGGGGCAACCGCTGGGAGTTGGCGCCAAGTACAGCGTGTGCGTGGCCACTTGCAGCCTGAAAGGGTAAGATCCATAATGGGCCACGGCTCACTAACCAAAGTCGCAATTTTACAATGATGTGAGCTAGTTTGGCATGCTGGATCACAAAGTCAATAAAGCTTCCGCAGTATGCCGAGGGAAGTCAAACGTCTCTGTGGATATTGGTCATCCAAACTGCTCTCCTTGAGAGACATGGAAATAACGGCGAAGAGCCGGAGCTAATGGAGGGGCGACCCAGGCGATCCCCGGATGTGACCCAGTATTTAATCGGATCCGATCTAGCGGGTCCCCGGACCCCTAAAGTGGGTCACGTACCTGCGCGTTTCTCGCGAATCAATGACGTTGTTAACGGTCCTGTCGCATCTCCCCTGCAAAGCTTCTCAGAGCTTGCGCTTCTGAACTACGACCATGTTTCTTTCCTGACACCAACGCGACATAATGCCTCCTTATGTACCGCGAAAGCGGTTGCGCGAGGAGTCGCCGGTCAAGCAGACCCCAAAACGCCAACAGGTAGCGAAAGGGCAAGGAAAGACTCCCGCCAGCTCCGGCCGCAGAAAGCCGACGTTGTACGACGATTTAGATGCTACCACCACGTCTGAGTCATCCAAGGTCGGCCGCGCTGCGCTTGATACCATCAGCGACAGTGACGAGACCAGTTCCTTGAGCGATTTATCTGACGGCGATTTCGAGGATGTGCCTCTTGCAAACGGTCACAAGGTGGAGGAAGTTTCTGAAGATGACGATAACGACGACATCGAGTTTGAGGATGTTCCTGCCCCGAGAGCCACCTTGGCAGTAGCGCCGACTACTTCTAAAGACCTGCAGCTCACCCTTGACGCCGGGCTTGGTACCGCGATGACTGATCCCTACGGCGATAAGAAGGGACCTACGAAGCGTGAAAAGAAGGTTCGCAATTTGACGCACTGCATTCACGTCCAGTACCTTCTGTGGCACAATGCCATTAGGAACTCATGGATATCCGACCAGGAAGTCCAGGCGATCATGATGTCTCATGTTCCGCCTCGTCTGTGGGAAGAAGTAGAGCGATGGAGAAGGACCAGCGGCTTAGTCACCAGGCCGAAGCAAACACCGACGAAGGTGGCCAAACCAGCGAAGAAGACCAGAGGAAAGGGCAAAGGAAAGAAGACCGAAAACGACGACTCTCGGGATTGGGGCGCTGCCGCTGAAAGGCTGGAGGCAGGTGCTGTCGACATGAGCCACGGCGATCCACTGTTCAGACTTATGAGGGCTCTCGCGGCGTGGTGGAGGCAACGCTTCCGCGTCACGGCACCCGGGATCCGAAAGTGGGGATACATGCCGCCTGAACGACTTGGTCGGTTACGAAAAGCCTGGGAGAAGGAAGGGAAAGATGACGAAAAGTTTGGAGAGCGGATTAATGGACTTGAAGGGTTTCGGAAATGCGCTCAGGACTGCACAGGAAGCCGAGATGTGGGATCGCAACTTTTCACCGCGCTTTTGAGGGCCTTGGGGTTGCAGGCACGGATGGTCGCGAATCTCCAGCCAGTTGGCTTCGGCTGGACGAAGTTGGAGGAGGCAGATCCTGAGACGGAACAGACTGCAACTTCGGCACCAAAAAGCAGTGACGAAGCGAGTGAGGCAGCAGATGGCACACGCGGTAAAGCGAAAAGGGGCGCGAAGACGACGACTAAGAATATTCCGGTGAAGAAGACATCGAAGCAGGCACCAAAAACAACCTCTGGACGAAAAACTGGAGCGAGACAAGCCAGTAGCAAGAACGCCGTCATTGAGATAGATGACTCGGATGATGAGCTTGGCTTGGAGCATCCGGATAGCGATGACGCGTCGGTCGTAGAGTTGGCAGTGACCCCACGAAAGTCAGCCCCGAGGTCGAAAAAGTTTGACAAGGACTTGGAATTTCCACATTATTGGACGGAAGTGCTTTCGCCGGTGACGAAGAAATATCTGCCAGCGGATCCAATCGTCAAGAACATTGTCGGTACTAATCGAGAACTGGTAGAGTCTCTGGAGCCGCGTGGAGGAAAGGCAGAGAAAGCGAAACAAGTCATGGCATATGTTGTTGGATTCTCTCCGGATGGCACAGCCAAGGACGTAACGGTTCGTTATTTGCGAAAGCAACTGTGGCCAGGTCGTACAAAAGGGGCGAGAATGCCACTGGAAAAGGTACCGATTTACAACAGGCACGGGAAGGTAAAACGATACGACCAATTCGACTGGTTCAAGTCAGCTACGAAGGGCTATGTCAAGGGCAGTCAAAAGCATCCGCTCACCGAGGAGGACGACGTTGAGGACTCGACAGATCTTAAACCCGCCCAGCCGGAGAAGAAAGAGGTCAAGGAAGGTAGCGAAACTATGGCGTACTACAAGCAGTCTAAAGAGTTCTGTCTCGAGCGTCACATGAAGCGCGAGGAGGCCCTGCTACCTACAGCAAAGCCAGTCAAGACTTTTCTCCACAAGGGGAAGGGCGGAGAATTCTCTCCAGAACCGGTCTACTCGAGGAAGGACGTGGTCAACGTCAAGAGCGCAGAGACATGGCACAAGCAAGGCAGGGCACCCAAACCTGGCGAGATGCCCCTGAAGAGGGTGCCATATCGCGCGGCTACGACCAACAGGAGACGAGAGATCGCCGAGGCCGAGGCTGCGAGCGGCGAAAAGGTTCTTCAAGGATTGTACAGCTTTGAGCAAACGGACTGGATTATTCCGCCGCCTATAACAGATGGAGTCATCCCGAAGAACAATTACGGGTATGTCTGCGTGCTCATTGAATGGATTCAAATGCTAACACATCCCAGTAACATCGATCTCTTTGCCGAGCACATGTGTCCCGAAGGCGCCGCACACGTCCCGTTCCGAGGAGCCGTCAAGGTCTGTAAGAGGCTCGGGATCGACTACGCCGAAGCCGTTGTGGGCTTTGAGTTTGGCAATCGAATGGCCGTCCCCGTCATTCAAGGCGTTGTCATCGCCGAGGAGTATCACGACCAGGTTATGGAAGAAATTCGCAAAGACGAGGCAGAGAGAGCGCGCAAAGAGGACGAGAAGCGCCGCAAAGCAGCGCTGAGTATGTGGAGCAAGTTCTTGAAAGGTCTCAGGATCGTGGAGCGTATTCGCCAGGACTATGGTCATGTCGACGACAGTGTTCCTGTTTTCCAGAAACACGGGGCGGCCAAGGCTACCAAAGATGCTCACGCCGAGGAAGAAGGAGACAAGAACCAGGTGGACGCCGAAGCTATGCAGATGAGAGAAGAAGAGATGGCAGGCGGCTTCTTCCCCGAAGGGCACGACGAAGAAGAGGTTGAACAACCCAAGAGGTTCACCTCTGGCTTCTTCCCAGTGGTGGATGAGAACGACGAAGATGAAGACATGGATGACGCCCTGCAAGTGGATCACGGCCATGATCAGAAACCGCATGCTGGCAACGGCTCGGATGGCGCGGAAGACGCGGAAAATGCAGAGGATCAGATGGAAGGCTCACCCGAACCCGAGCCTCTTCCTGCACCAGTGAAAGCCAGACCGAAGCCCAAGAAGAAGGCAGTGGCGAGGCGATCATCTAGGCGCCGGCTAAGGCCCGTATCTGAGAGTGAAGATGAGGATGAGGACGACGATGACGATTTCGTGGCCTCGGACGATGATTACGAGTAGTGCATCTGCGTCTGGGCTCGAAGGAGATCATGCAAGACGGGAAACCGCTTGAGGATTTTCATCACTGTGCGTCGGGATTTGAGAGTCGTGGACAAAACTGGGCAGCTGGCAGGCGGCTGTAGTACAGTAGGTGTGCCACCATCCTTATTCGTCGCAAGATGCATAGATGGGGGCATTATTAGCTATCGCCACCAATGGAGGATTATTCCTTCTTCAGCTCGTATGCCGAGATGCGCTGGCCCGACTAGAAGGGTTTGATTCTGCGACTCTGCTAGTGTATGTACGGTCAAGTCAAGAGCACCTGATCACTTTGAGAAGTGGACATTGCATCCAATAGAAGAGAAGGTGTCAGCGTGTGAAGTAACTGCATTCACAGCCTGATACATCATGAAATCAGAAGAGGAATCGGCAATAGTCTGTATTTGATAGAAGATACCATAGTACGAATGTGAAACCTTCCGCATCCCAAGAAGCATATGGTCATCGACCATCGTCGTCTATCCGTCTGTCCACTCAAAGTACTCATTGATACTAGCGGTCGCCATGTCAGTGACAGTAAGTGAGACAAGAGGCACCCAATGACACCTTCGGCATGGGAATGCGCCCCCGTTCGAGCCACCTCCCAGGACCTCCCCTGCTGAGGATTTCGCGCTAAAGAGAGGCCGGGGGTGGGTGCTGTCCAACTTCCCGGGGCCATCTGACGATCCACCGATCGGTTTAAGTCAGGTCCAGATGATTTTCCTAACGTCACCTCATGCTCCCCTTTCACCTTTGACCGACAATGCGAATCGCGACTTCGTGGGCGCCAAGTTGCGTGTCGCCGTTTTATCGAAGCCTTGTAATTCAGCGTCAGGGCTAGAACGGAAAAATTTAGAAAATACCATTAGGTGAGGTGAGACAGGCAGCGAAAGAAGCGCGGCAAGGCGAAGCGCACCGGGAGCGAGGGGTAAAATCGTCCGGTCAGACGGGGTCAGGCGATTCCCAGGCTATCGATCGACGGTGAGGATTTCTTTTCTTCTAGTAGGCAGATGAGAAGGTGAAGGCCGTTTAGAAGGCTGTGAGGCTCCAGGTTACTCTTTCCTTCGA